AAAAACATTTCTTCATAAACCATACATAAAACATTTATGCACTTTAAAAATAAGAAAAATAAAGCAAGTGCTCAATATAACTACAATTCAGGCTATGACATGAATCATTGTTATAACTTTAGACAAGTTCCACTTACCTATCCAGACCACATTTATGTTTTTCTCCATCCCTGATGACATAATTATAATCCTGAATATTTCCATAATCATTTCCTTTTTTATTGCAGTTTTACTATCAATATATACAATGTTAATTATATTGTCTTGTTTTGTCTTTAAAAAACTTTTGTACGAATGGAATTATGTATATGCATTCTTCTATGTCTTACTTTCTGCCCTTTCCATTATTTTTATGAGATTCATTCATGTTGATGGATGTTGCTAAAGTTTGTTCAATGATTCTATGGTATTAAATTATATGAATATGACCATACTTTATTAAACTACTCTTTGACAATGGACATATGTTGTACTTCAAGTTTTTTGTTACTTTGAATAGTAATGTTATTAATATTTTTATGCATATTACCTGATGCACATGTGTAAGAGTTTCCCTAAGTTACATTACTAGGAATGAAACGTTTCCTGGTTCTAAAGATTATAACTAAGGTTTTGTAATGAAATATAATAATATACTTATAAAGGAATTTTTCTCAATTACTCCTGGGTAGAGATTGAACTAAAAGGAAAGAATGATTAATAAATCTAATAGTGTGGGCTCTGAGTACAAAAGAAATGGGATTATGAGGTTTAAGAATTAAAATATAAAATGAGGATAGGCTTTTCCTTACATTTATATAAATGCAAAGGACTTAGAATAGTCAAAAAGTTTTTGAAAAAGACCAGAGTTAAAGGTCTTATGCTACCCAGTTTCAAAACCATAAATCCACAGTAATCAAGTATTAGTGTAAGTATCAGTGAAGCATAATTGAGAGTCCAGAAATAACCTCTTACATTTATGATCAATTGATTTTCAACAAGGTGTCAAGACAATTCAATTGGGAAGAGGGTAGTGTTATGAACAAATAGTGTTGGAATGGGCAAAAATGAATTTGGATCCTAACCTCATACCATATACAAAAATTAGCTCCAAATGGATCAAAGACCTAAATTTAAAGGCTAAGAAACACAGGAGAAACAAAGGAGGAAATCTTTGTAACCATGGGTTAGGCAAATATTTCTTAGATATGACACATAAAAGCATACTTGTTAAGGAAAAAGCTTAACTTTATCAAAATTAAAAATTAAAAATTTAGCACTTCAAAAGGCACAAGTAAGAAAATGAAAAAGAGACTGGGCATGGTGGCTCACACCTGTAATCCAAGCACTCTGGGAGGCTGAGGCTGGAGGATCACTCGAGGTCAGGAGTTGGAGACCAGTCAGAGCAAGAGTGAGACCCTATCTCTATTAAAATAGTAAAAATTACTCTAGTGTGGTGGCATGTGCCTGTAGTCCCAGCTACTCAGGAGGCTGAGGCAGGAGGATTGCTTGGGCCCAGGAGTTTTAGGTTGCTGTGAGTTAGGCTGATGCCACAGCACTCTAGCCTGTGTAACAGAGTGAAACTTTGTCTAAAAACAATCAAACAAACAAACAACCCCACCAACTCAAAGATTGGGAGAAAATATTTACAAATCATATATCTGATAAAGGACTTGTATTACAATATGTAAATAACTCTTACAACTGAACAGAAACTTCTCAAAAGAAGACAGAATAATGGCCAACAAACATATGAAAAAATGCTTAACATCTCTAATCATCAGGGAAATGCAAATCAAAACCACAATGAGATATCACTTAACTCCAGTGAGAATGGCCTTTATCAAAAAGACCCCCAAAAATAAATGCTGGCGTGGATGCAGAGAGATAGGAACACTCCTACATTGCTGTTGGGACTGCAAACTAGTTCAGTTTCTGTGGAAAGCAATATGGAGATACCTTAAAGTGATATAAGTAGATCTCTCATTTGATCCAGCAATTCCACTACTGGGCATCTACCCAAAAATCAAAAGTCACTTTATGAAAATGACACCTGCACTCAAATGTTTATAGCAGCACTATTAACAATTGCAAAGTTGTGGAAACAACCCAAGCTCCCATCAATTCATGAGTGGATTAATAAAATGTGGTATATGTATACCATGGAGTACTATTCAGCTCTAAGAAACAACGGTGATATGGCACCTCTTTTATTTTCCTGGATAGAGCTGGAATGCATTCTACTAAGTGAAGTATCCCAAGAATGGAAAAACAAGCACCACATGTACTCACCAGCAAATTGGTATTAATGGATCAACACCTCAGTGGACATATAGGAATAACATTTATCGGGTGTTGGGAAGGTGGGAGGGGGTAGGAGGGGATGGGTATATACAAACACAATGATATGTGCAATGTTTGGGGGATGGTCACCCTTGAGGCTCTGACTCGAGGGGGGAGAGGGGCATGGGCAGTATACATAACCTTAACACTTGTACCCCCATAATATGTTAAAGTAAAAAAAAAAGAAGACAAACAACTCAATTAAAATATGGGCAAAAAGTTTGGATAGAAATTTCACCAAATAACATATATGAACACATAGTAAACATATGAAAAGATACTCAATATCATTATCAGGGACATGCAAATTAAACTCACAATAAGGTGCAACCACACACTCAAGTGGTGGGGAGTATGTGAAAAAATTGGACCCTTTACATATTATTTGTGGGAATATAAAATAGTACAGATTTGAAAAACAGCTTGGTAGGTACCATGTAATTCAGCGGTTCCACTTGTAGGTAAAAAGTAAATGACAGGTGGGCTTATTTAACCAAAGAAGTAAAGGATTATTACAATGAAAACTATAAAACATTAATGAAAGAAATTGAAGAGGACACAAAGAAATGGAAAAACCTTTCATGTTTTTGGATTGGAAGAATCAATCAAAATGTCAGTGTTACACAAAGCATTCTACGGATTCAGTGAAATTCCTATCAAAATATCAGTGACATTCTTCACAGAAATAGAAAAAATAAACCTAAAATTTATATGAAACCACAAAAGACCCAGAATAGCCAAAGCAATCCTGAACAAAACAAACAAGGCTAGAAGCATCACATTACTGACTTCAAATTATACTACGAAGTTATAGTTACCAAAACAGCATGTTACTGGTATAAAAACACACACACAGACCAATGTAACAGAATACAGACCCCAGAAATAAATCCATGCATTTATAGTCAACTCATTTTTGACAAAAGAGCCAAGAACATACAGTAGGGAAAAGATAGTATCTTTAATAAATGGTGTTGGGAAAACTGGATATCCATATGCATAAGAATAAAACTAGACCCCTATCTCTCACCATACACAGAAATCAAATCAAAATGGATCACAGATTTAAATCTAAGACCTGAAACTACCACACTATTATAAGAAAACATTAGAAAAACATTTCAGGACATTGTTGGGAAGGGGCCTCAAGGCCACATGTGGCCCTCCAGATCCCCAAGTGTGATCTCTCTGCCGAATTCAAACTTAATTTGTTCTGTAAAATTTGGATTCAGTCAAAAGGCTGCATGTAAGGATTCATTATAAAATGGCTTTTATAAAAAGGACAGACAATAATGGATGTTGACAAGGATGTGGAGAAAGGGAAACTCTAGTACATGGCTGGTGGGAATGTAAATGAGTATAACCACTATAGAGAACAGCATGGAGGTTCTCTAGAAAACGAAAAGTAGAACTACCAGATGATCCAGCAATCCCACTGCTGGGTATATATCCAAAGGAAAGGAAATCAGTGTATCAAATAAATGTCTGCATTCCCATGTTTATTGCAGCACTATTCACAATAGCCAAGATATGGAATCAACCTAAGTGTCCATCAATGGATGAATGGATAAAGTAAATGTGGTAAATATACACAATATAATATTATACAGCTGTAAAAAAGAAAGAGGTCCTGTCATATGCAATAACATAGATGAAACTGGAGGACATTATGTTAAGTTAAACAAGCCAGGCACAGAAAGACAAAAATCACACATCTTCACTCATATGTGTGAGCCACACACAAAAAATTGAAGTCATGCAGATAAAGAGTAGAATGATGGCTATTAGGGGCTGGTGAGAGTAGTGGGGAGAGGGGGATAAAGAGAGGAAGAGGGCATAGTTAATGGGTACAAAAATACAGTTAAATAGAAGGAATGAAATCTAGTGTTTAGTAGCACAATAGGTGACTATAGTTAACAATAATGTATTGCACATTTCAAAATAACTAAAATAGTGGAATTGGAAATGTTCCTAACACAAAGAAATAAGAATTGCTCGAAATGATGGATATCATAATTACCCTGATTTGGTCATTACACATTGTATGCTTATATCAAAATATCACATGTACCCCATAAATAAGTACAATAACAATGTATTCACAATAACTAAAAATAAAAAAATTTAAAAAAGATAAATCTAAGCAAGGTTCTTCAAAAAATAAAAACATATGTCTCACAGTGACAAGGAAACAATCCAAATTTCCATCAACTAGTGAATGAATAAACTAAATGCACTCATATCTATATAATGGAATACTATTTGCAATAAAAAGGAATAAACAACTCATAAATGCTACAAGATGGAAGAACACTAAAAACATTATGTTAAATGAGGGAAGCCAGACACAGAATACTACATATTATATATTTTCATTATGTGAAATGCCCAGAATAGGCAAACTTATATAGAATCAGAAAGCAGCTCAGTGATTGCTTAGCGCGAGGGGGTGGAACTGGTGATTGACTGCAAATGGTCATGAGGAAAACATCTGGGGTGATGGGAGTGTTCTAAAACTACATCAGGGTAGTGGTTTCATAACTTTATTATTTACTAGAATTTATTGAATAATACACTTACAGTTAGTGAATTTTATAGCAGATAAATTATATGTTAATAAAACAAAAATGAGTGTAAGGAGTTCTTTTACATTTTTACCTTTTGTGTACTCTAGTCCTTTAGTTCTTTGAGATAGCTGCAACCCTTTTGATCATGTCTTTGAAAGCTTGTATCACTTGCTTGTTCCTCAGAGTGTAAATGAAGGGATTCATGACTGGGGCAACTGAAGTCGTGAGCAGTGACACCATCTTATTCATAGCGACCCCTTCTTTTGCAGATGGTTTAATATAGATGAAGATGCAGCTTCCATATGTGATAGAAACCACAATTATATGAGAAGAACAGGTGGAAAAAGCCTTTTTCCTTTGCTGGGCAGAAGGGAATCTGAGAATGGTCCTGATGATGTATGTGTAGGACAAAATCACACATACCAAGGTGAAAATGAGCGTCAGTACTGCCAGGACCAAGACAAATCGCTCTATAAACTCTGTGTCAGAGCAGGTAATCTTCAGGATGGGGGCAGCATCACAGCCAAAGTGATCTATGACATTGGAATCACAAAACTCAAGATCAAAGCCCATAATATAGGGTGGGAGGACAATGATCAGTGCTAACATGTAGCAGCCAATAAGGAACTTGATGCAAACTCTGTTGTTCATGATGGTCGTGTAATGCAGGGGCTTGCAGATGGCCACATAACGGTCATAGGACATGGCCGTCAGGAGAAAAAACTCAGTCACACCCAGGACAACAACAAAAAATAATTGAGCAGCACAAGGGTTATAGGTCACTGTGTTGTCCCCAGTGGCAAGGGTATACAGGTATCTGGGAATACAGACAGTGGTAAAAGAGACTTCTAAAAAAGAAAAATTCCGGAGAAAGAAGTACATAGGAGTTTTAAGGCGAGGATCTACAAATGTGAGTGTGATGATGGTCAGGTTCCCAACGACACTCAGCAGGTAGGTGATGAACAAAAAGACAAAAAGCAGAATCTGTAGATTTGGGTCATCTGTTAGTCCCACAAGGATGTATGTGGTTAACACTGTATAATTTTTCATCACTGACCTCTGACTTCTTCATGTTCTGTGGGTAAAACAAGGCAGAAATTGAACATAAGTGGGGATCAAATAAATTATTAGCAGGAACAGAGTGAAAATGCCAGGCAAACCAATATTATTTTATTTGATAATGTGATTGCAGTGGTAGCTTGTCCTACTCCGAGATCACACAATAGTATGGCCAGAGAGCTGGTATTAAAAATTCTTATCATTATCTTTATAAGAAGTTTATGGTATAGGAACTCCTAGATCAAACAAATAGTCAAACACCCCCTGCCCCGAGAAAAACCTGTAAAGGAAACTCTTTCAGGCTATATCAGTCATGTAAAAACAAAAACAAAAACACTATCCTGAATCATAGCACTATATATTGGATTGGGACATATACTCAGGAGCTTGACTGTTTGGGTTCAAGTTATGACTCATTCAGCATGTGACTTTAGGCAAGTTATTGAGCTCTGTGCCTCCATTTCTTCACATGTAAACTGTGGAGAATAATTGAAACTTACATTGTAGGGTTGTTAAAGGAATAAATGAGTTAATACATCTAAACCACTTAGTAAACATCTTAATAAGCACTATAGAAGGGTTTGCTTATATTATTATTACATGCAAAGTTTTAGAATTAATGATAATAACCCATCTGGTAATAAATACTACATATCTTCCTTCAGAGCAATGCAACCAGAGTTAATTGTTGATTATAAAGATGTGAAGTTTCTAAAACTTTTCTTCTTAGTTTCTGCATTTCTTTCCAGCTCCACAGCCAAATATAGTCATTTAAAATGACTACTACGTTTCTGCTTCCCTCACTTTTAAAACTGCAGGTACATTGAAGGATGTTATTCCCCTGCCTCAATTCCTTTAACAGCCTCCTTCTGTACTTGGAATAAAACCCAAACTCCCTACACTGGCCTGCAAATTCCCACATGATATGGCTTCTGCTCATCTCTCCAACCTCAGCTTTTCCCCTCAGTCAGCATGTGCCAGTTACGGTGGCCTTTTTCAGTTCCTCCAACGTCACATATGCCTATTCTTTGCAACTTTTTAGATCTCACCATAACTGTGACCTCCTCAGAGAGGTCCCACCTTGCTATGCTCTTCAAAAAAAGCCTTCTACAAACTCAGGGTTTAGTATTAATTCCATTTCCTTATGGCATCCTTACTTTGCTCATCAACTTTAGTGGTTAATTTGCCATACTACCACGTGGCTAATTAAGATACGGACGCCATCGTTTGTTTTGTTCATGCTTGTTTCACTTTGTTCACTGCTGTTTTGTTCAGCTGCAATGTACTGCAGCATGTGTCTGGCACTCAGTAAGAAAGATTAAATACATACTTGTTAAGTAAGTAGCAACTGAGCATTTTATACTGTGAAATCAACTGATGATCCACCATTTTATCTGAACACATCATCTTGCGAGGCCTGGCATCATGCATGCATTTAAGCTCCTGGTTTATTCATAAAGGTAATACTGAGCCATTGTCGATGGTAGCGTTAAAAAAAAAATCATTTTGGCCAGTGAATCCTAAATTGACCAACAGGCCAGTTTGGCTGGTATAGAATCACGTTATTTTAATTTCTCATTTTTTGAGAAAGAGTCTACTCTGTTGGCCAGGCTGAGGTGAGTGCCCGTGGCGTCAAGCTCACCGTGAGGTAGGTCACAGGCAACCTCCAACTCCGCTGGGTCAACAATCCTCTGCTCAGCCTCCCCCAGTGGCTAGGACTACCGGGGGGGGCATGCACCATGTGTAATTTTCTAATATAACTATAGTGGAACTATTTTTATTTATAGAAGACGGTCTCGCTCGTTGCTCAGGCTGGTTCAAACTCTGACACTCGAGCAAAATCCCGGCCCCGCGGGGCCCTTGGGCCATCGCCAGAGTGCTAAGCATTACAGGCGTGAGCCACCGTGGCCGCAGCCATTTTTGCACATTATTATAGCTTTAATTTGCCAGAAATTGGTTGTGGAAATGGAGGGCTAGAGATTGAATTTCCATGGGTTTGCTTCAGCCCTGATTCCTCTTTACCGCTAATTTTCGCTCTAGTAGGTTGGGTGAGGCTTGCTGGAAAGTTAATTCTGGTAAGCAGATGCAATTTCTAGGTCATATTTAGTTGATGGTGGTGGTGAAAGTTTGGCGGCTTTGAATCAATCATCAGGTGCTAATAATGTCTTATGTATTCCCCTTCGTTTTCATCAATCATAACATGTCCATATTACCTTGTTCGTCATTGAATTGCACTGAGGATTAAATAAGAGCTAAATTATAAAACGTCTTA